CAGCGTACCCGTCTTTTATATAAACAAAATCACGAGTCATGCACAACATGCAAGTGAGCCAACACAAAGCAGCGATATGGTGTTTGTTCTGTCCCCGTTTTCAAAATACATGGGCCAATTTATTGGAATCCTAGAAACAACAATAGGAATCCTCTATTTAAATCCGTAGGAACCCTATTTTAAATTAATCGGGGCCGTAAAGTCAATAGGAAGCCTCTTAAAATTCATTAGAGGCCCCTCACAAAAAAAATGAGAATCCTCGTAGAATTAATAGGAATCCGATTAAACTGAAGAGGAACCCTACTACAATTAATACGAACCAATCGGACTCCTATAAACAATAATGTGAACCCTTAGAAAAATAATCAGAATCCTATTAAAATAAACATGAGCCTAAACCAATAGGAACCCCTTTAAAGTGAATGGGATCCCTATGAATATTAATACGAATCCCATTAACATGAACAAGAATCTGATTAAAATTGATAGGAATCTTATTACATGAGTAGGAGCCTTCTTAAAATAACTAGGAACCCTATGAAACTTTATCCCCCCAAAAAAAAAACAAAAACACAAATCCTGAGAGACTCTTCCCAGGGGTCCGGCTCCCCAACAGAGTACGAGCCAAATCCTTTACATTAATTAAAAACTTTTGCGAATCCCAGTAACATGAATAAGAACCCTGTTTAAATTGATAGGAACCTTGCTAAATTGGTAGGAGCCTTAGGGCGTGATGTCTTAAAATATATTGCTAAGGTACAGTGTTTCGTATAGATATTAGGTTTTGCTTATTGGGGGATGATTGCTTGAGATATCCTAAGGTATAGTTTTTAGGATACATGTCATGTTTTGCGTATTGGGGCGTGATTGATTATATGGAGGTTTTGGTACTCTCTCGAGATTTTGCAGGATTCGAGTTTGTTTTCTGGTACCTCCTCGAGAAATGGTGGCTGGGAGAGAGCCTCAGATCACGAAATTCATGGAAAACATTGGTTTTACCAATGTTGTTGAAGGATGGAGCCGCAAAACATTGGTCAAACCGACGTTTTCCAAAACATCCATGGTTTTCAAACCATGTGGCTGCGAGGACGAAATTCATGGATAACATTGGTTTTACCTATGTTTTTGAAGGATGGAACCGAAAAACATCGGTAAAACCAAGCACGAAAGTCATGGATAATATATCCATTTTGTTCAAATTTGTGCAAAGCAGGACCTAGAGAGAATTTTGTCACGTCTCTCGCTCGCAAGCATCAGGACATTTCGTGCATCGCCCACCAGATGAGAGAAACACAGAATGCGGTTTGCTTGATTGTCCATGTTAGTGCTTTCGTCACGTACAAAAGGGCACTCAGAAATATAAAGACACACCCAAAACACAAATACCAAAAACAACTGTACAAAAAATGCGTACAAAAATAAAATAACACCAAAAAGCCTAAAGAAAACCCAAAAAAACACCCTTCAGAAGACACCGAAAAACCATACAACAGAAAATAATACAGAAAATCTCCAATGGCACACCAAAAATCCTCAAAAAAACAAGAAAACCACAAAAAGAAAAAAAAAAAACAATCCTGAGATCCCTCAGGATTGGTGTTTTTTTGTTTTTTTGGTTTTCTTGGTTTTCTTGGCTTTTTGTGTTTTTTGGTTGTTGTGGGGATTTGTTGTGTATTATTTCTTGTTGCACGTGTTTCTTTCGTGTGTTTTTAGGGTTGGTTTTAAAGTTTTGCGCGCTTTTTCTGTGAAAAAAGTGCACTCCCACAGCGTCACAGCCTGCGTGCTGGCCACGAATTGCATTGTTTCCCGAATTGCCCGTCCTCCGTTGTGCCGTTTGAGTCCTTCCTCATAAGTATTCGCAGGGTTGAGGTCACAATACCGACATTGAGTGAGATGTGAAATGATTCGCGATCACCAGCTACGTGCAGAAAATAGCTTCAAGTCCTTCCCCATAAGTCAACAGATTCCTGCAATATTGCACGCGAGGCTAGTCGCGATGGTTCGCGATCAGTTCAAGCTTTATAAGGTTGCTGTCCACAGACACGGCAGCTAAGTCTTGCAAGCAACACTGAGACAAGCTTAGGAACCGCCACGACATGAGTGCAGAAAAGGCGCTCTTGCGGTAACATAGGCATCATCCTGGCTGGCCTTAGCTTCGGCTCATACCATCATATGAAGGCCTATCAGAGTACCAATTCTCAATGCCCATGACAGCCATCGGCACCTGACCGCATCACGCAGAACGTCACCGACAACCGTCAACGTCGAGCATATTGCTGCAGCATGTGTCTCCTCAGTGCCCATGTCTGCACAAAACGCCCATCCGACGGCGCCTAGGCCGCTGGCCACTGGTCGTTTTGAGACGAGCCAAACTGGATCTTTCCACCCAGAACCACCTAAAGCTTTGAATCCTCTCCAGAAAAGTTTTCGCTTTCCACATTTCCCCAAAGCTTCCTCAAGAAGTAGGCTGCACTGCCTGCGTTACCGGCCAGAGGCCATGTAAGCATATCTTGAGCATTGCGCCATTGTTGGTGGGACATTGTTCGAAAGAGGCTCGTCTGTAGGGCATGGGCGCATCACAGAAACCAGAAGCACTAATCAAATAAGTCTCTGGCATCCGCAGCTGAGGCCATTTGCAATGCTGCGACCTCAGCACAGGAGAGGCATAATGGCCACAGCGGAACTTGGATGGACGTAGTAGTGTCCATAGTGTTGTATGATTCTCCAGAACGTGTCAAACATAAGTCGGCAACACAGGCAGCACTGGCCAATCTGCTGCAGATGTGCGGTCCCACCTCGGGAGCTGCTCAAGAAGTTCAAAGACTCTGCGACCTCCGCAGCAAGCTGACTCTGGCCTTCAATCGCAATTAGCGGCTCAGTGATCGGAAAAACACAACGATCGCGGCTGCAATGTCAGACGAGCTGATACTGTAAGCGTGGTCGGAATGAAATAGTGCCGTTAATTTTACCTACGTCGATACGCCGTTACGCCACACCTCCCCCTCTGCCCCCCGATATACGCATTGCACCGATGCCCCGCTCACGGCGCCCAGAATGGAAATATGCCAATGCGCCGATACACCGGTCGGGGCCCGCGCAAGGGAAATGCACCGAGGCGCCGATAGGCCAATATAACTCCCAGGCCCCGGAAGCGAAATTAAGGCCGGGAAAAACACCGATGCGCCCCTCCCACACCCCGCCCCCCCCCTCCCCCGCGGAAAGGAAACAGGCCGATACACCTCGTGGAAGGGCAATAAGCCGATATGCCGAGACGCCGCTCTGGGGGCTACGATACCCTCGCAGAAAGGGAATGCGCCGAACCCATTCCTCCCCCCGCCAACGCCCCTCCGCACCATCACCCTGACAGCCTGACAGATTCAGTAATCTGACATGGTCAAGCCTCCAGTACCTCTTGCTGGGCATCAGCACGGGCGTGCTCTGCAGGCGGGCCGCAGCGGCGCACCAGTGTATCGGTGCATCGGCCCGGGCGTTCGCCACGGTTCACTTCTGAACTTTCTGCTGATCCAGCTCGAGCCACTTGGCACTTCAGAGCGTACGCTGTTCTGAGCTGGCTCTGTGAAGATTTCCCGCGTTGCCCCGAGTGTCCCGGCGTCACATCACAACCAGCTCGAACATGCTAACGGCTCAGGCAGCGACTTCGAACTGAAGCAATAAGCTCAAGTAGTGCCATAAGGGCGCTCCATACCTGCATGTTGCACGGTTTGCATTGCATTGCAATGCAATGCCCTGCATAAAGTTCTGCCAGGTGGTTCTGCAAGGTTCTGCAAGGTTGTCCTCGTGAGCGCGGTTCCGGATGTCTGGAGGGCATCCAAGAATTCTTCCAAATCTCGGCGGCACCGGTGCTGGGATGGGCGCGTTGAAACTGATGTTACCCTAACGTGGTTACGACATGTTGCTAACGTGTAGCACGCATTGGCAAGGAACCGACCGGTCAAATGAAAGCCATGCGCTGGCAATGATGATGACCCAGGACTTTCCAACTTCTCTGTCAACAGCAACAGCTCCTCAACAGCTACATTCGAAAACGAGCTTGCGCTTGATCATGCCCAATCCAGAAAACCATGATCAGAACGACTGCCGTTCCGACGCAACAATCACCAGCGGTACCTGAAGAGGCGCCGTACGCAGATCGAGCCTGAGAGCAACACATTTGGACAAGGAGGCCTGTGCCTATCACCGGCTGGGATCAGGACAGTGAACCCTGCAAGTTGCATCCAGCGCCACACATGTTAGATAACAAAATCGAGCTCCAGATTCTAGAAACAACCGGTGCACCACAAAGCATGTATGCTGGATCTGGAACCGTCGCAGTAAACTCATGACTCATGTGGATGACATCATGTACCTTTCTGTGGGCGAATCTGTGCTGACTGGGATATGCTTGAACACGCAAAGGCTTCATTGAGAGTTCAGGCTTCGCAACTCGAATTCGGAAGTGCTCCTGCAGTGATCATTTCAAAGGCAGCAACATACCAAATATGAAAATTATTGCCCTGTGCGCCCGCCTTTCGTTGTCACACAGGTATGGCCAGCTTCCGGCGGGGCTCTCATCAGACTGGCTGTAGTGCGTGGCTAAGACATGCTAAGACTGGAAAGTGCTCCAGCAAAACTGTAGCTAAGTCATAGGCCGGTAACCCAGGGGAGGCGATAGAATGTGAGTGCCATTGTCGTTAAGCATGCAGAAACGCGTCTTGCCTTCGTGAGCGCCACGGTCTTTACAGTGGAGCGGCAACGATCAAGATTCGCAAAATGGCCTTTTTAGTCGGGGTTTGGCTTACAACTCCTTTGGCGCGACTATCAGGTGATTTTAACCTGATGAAATGCCGGCGCGCTTCCGGCTGGGGGACATTTTGCCCCGGCACTGTTTAAGCTCTTCCCAGACCATTCTCCAGGTTTTCCCAAGGCTCGCGCCAGCATGATGTCAATGCCGCTCTCATGTCTTGCGATGTCACACGGCTTGCAGCCGACCGGCTAGCTTCTCATACGTTCAGCTGCATATTGCTCCTGCAACCAACAGGCTGCATCGGCTGTCCTCGAAAACCTGTACTGACCTCACACAGATCTGACAAAGCGTGCCTATGCCCAAACTAGTCTGTGGGAAAATCAGATCACACTGTCTGCACCATGAGACAGTGAGGCTATGTGAGCTTCGAGCTGGAGCCACCGCGGACCGCGGAGGCGGAGCAGATCGGCATCCTTGGTGCCTCGAGAAGCGTCTTTCCACCCCACATGACTCTATCCGACTCTGTGCGACTTTGACTTTGGCATGCAGCCGAAGAACAAGTGCGACGGTAAGTCCGGTGGCGGAATTGGCGGCTGAGCCAGCAATGCATTGATCCTCCAAAAAAAGCAGGACTCATGATCTTGCCAAGCTCGCAGAACCCACAATTTGGCCTCTGGAGCTCCAACTCTGTGTCTCGCCTGTTCTTATAAATGCAACACAGAGGGAAGCAGAATGAAAACCACGCATTGAAAGCAGTTGTGTTCAGATGTTGCTGCAGCTGCGGCGCATCGGATCTGCAAGAGCCCTTCGCTGCTGATCATGAGACCTCATGCACCGCAACCGAGAGTTCGCGCAAGGACCGCCCTCTTGCGGCAGCCGAGACTTGGACGCTGCCGCGGTCGTGGCCTTCAGACAGCAACATCCGAAACGCAATCCGAAACAGCGATCGATGCAGGCTCTGGACATGATCGTTGAAGTTGGAGTGCGCCACATGGAAGTGAGCTGTCGCCTGTCAGATGGACTCTGGGCATCGCAGCATCGCTTCGTTTGCTTCCTGGCTTTGCCGCTTCCGCAGCTTGACATTGCATTGCAAGGTAAAAACCCCCTGCCCTCCTGCCACTCGTGTCTGTCTTTTCTTGTATGCTTCATCATGCGGGGTCTGTGCTTGCACTTAAGTGCCTAGCACCAGCGCACTTACGCAACCCGCGACAGCTTCGCTGTGCGGACAGGTCATGAGATGTCATGAGTTTGTCATGACTTCATGAGGCCTGAGGCCGTCCCAATGGTTTGGTCGGTGCAAAATGTGAATTTTGGCTATCGGCCTTGTAAAAAACGAAGCCAGCTTCAATCGTCAATGCCATGGCACACATGGCACACAAACACTATGCAATTTTGGAGCTGCCGAGTTGCCAGACATGGCAAAAAGGAGCTTCATCTCAAACACAGAAAGCAGTCAGCAAACACGACAATGACATGCAGTGAGATAAACTAATGCTAGCAACTCGAGACGTTAGCAGAGGCGAAGGCCACTCTAGAAGGAAGCGGCAGAGGAGCCAAGACAGATTAACAGAGTGCAGACTTTCTTCTCGAGATCGGCTTCCTGGCTGTAGATCCCTCCCTGAGATGACCATAAACAGTTCCCACAGGTTCCGAAAGAAATATGGTGCAACATGGCAACAGGCAGCAAGGCTACGCGTCCCTGACACGGGAAAGTGCGACTTGGGCTCGACAGTTGCCGAGCTCGCGCGCTTTGCGGACGCACATCTTTCATGAAGCGCTCCCTTGTCACGAGGGCGCATTCAGGCGCTTTCAGAGCTCGCAATGCTCACGTGCTTCCGGGGACTTGTGCAGCCAAAGCTCAGCTGAAGCATTTCCTTCCAGTCGATGCTGCCCTGCCCAAGTGCGCCAGCACCACATTCTGTCCCCAAAACAAGCTGTGCATGCCAGTGCGCATGGCCCAACCCCATCGGGCCGTATCATCAACATCCAGGAAGCCAGCGATTACACCTGGGCCAACACATGAAAAATGAGTCAGAGCATAGGCGGCGCAAGCCACGGCTCAAGCCGTGGCCGGAGGCATGAATGCTCGGACAGAATCAGATAATCGACCCAAGCTCATGAGTAGGTGTAGGCATGGCTACATCTTGCAAAGTGGCAAAAAGCGGGCTTTCAGCCACTGTCCGACTGTCCTGGCATACATGACCTGGAATTAAGTTTTGTCGCTCTTAACGATACAACCTCTATGGAGGACAGCGGAGTGGTTGTAAAGACTCGAAGAACAAGGACTGAACCGACGCTGCGACAGGACGAAAATGGACGAAATTTCGACCCACTCGCTAAAGCCGCCGTGACGCCCTTGTTCCCCCTTGCAGACCCCTTCCCAGTAGACTCCTAGCACCCCCACAACCAGATCGCAGACTCCGCCGGCGCTTGTTAGCATTCCCCACGCAGGCCATGTGAAATGCACCGCGCCTACTCCACTACTCCACGGTATGGGAGGCACCCCTGAGGTCTTGATTCTTCCTCCAAATGGGTCGAAACTTTATTCCTCCCGATCCCTCGGCTCACGGTGGCTTCTGACTTCAGCAAACGTTGTCTTGCCATGGGCTGTCGCGCGGGGTCTACTTTAAGGATTTGCTTCTCGGGAAGTCCTTCCCGTGAGCATGACCAGGAAAAAGTTTTGTCGCTCTTAACAATACAACGTCTATGGAGGACAGTGGAGTACTGCGTGATGGTCTTGTCCTAGCCTGGCTGGCGGAGGCAGTAATCCACCGGCATAAAATTGCACCACTGTAATTTATTCCAGTGGAGGACCGGTGCTCTTGGAGTGCACCGGTCTAGGGAGGAAGCGGGGGCTTCTGCTGTTTTGTTTATGTTGCAAGTGCGACGACCTGTCGGCCTGCTGCAGTAGAACTGAGCACCCCCCTTATTGACTTTCAGTTGCATACTTTGCACGCAATAAACATAAACCGAGCCACACGTTGATCCCAAGAAGCCCAGCTGATTCCGCACGGCTCGCTCGAACTTGCTTCGAGACATGTTGCCGACACCTTCGGGGTCCTTAGCTGCATCAGTCTGCCTTGGAAAGATGCAAAGAAGCCTCGCACACTATGCATTCATGAGGCCTGTGCCAATAAACGCAGACAGAAGGCTAAAAGGTCCCAAACTTTCCGAAGTGCTCCGCGTGATGACGGGAACTGTCCTTATAGAAGCGCACGCTCTGATTAGGCCCTGCATGGACTTACTCCTGTTGGGGGGGTGGGACGTGGGACATACGTGGGACGAAAGCGGGGGACGAGGCGGCTGGCATTTGGCTTGGCATACTTGGTTGCGCACGGAAAGCCTAAGCATGGGTAAATCCATCCGAGGTCTTTATCTCGCTGCACGGCCCCGGTAAACCACAGAAACATGACCCCATCCCCGCACTCAAGGAGCGGAGCTTTCGCCCTCGTCCCACCCCATACCATCAACAGCACTCAACTTCTCAAGCGCCCGTGCCATTGTAGTGTGGGGCGCTTGCCTCTCGCATCATGGTACAGCACCGCATGCCGAATGCTCAATGCGCATGATGCACTTCATCCACCGCACCAAAGCTTCAAGGCGGAAGGTACCTCACCATCTCGCACTCATTGCTGATGGATAGCATGGATAAACCTATACTCTACCAATTTCGCTCCGCCTGCGTCAAGTGCCCGGGGAGTATCCCTGTTTGCAGTGCGCAGTGCGTGCGACTGGCCAGAGCATCCATTCCGCACCCTGATAGCGTCCATGCTCGCAGCGCATGCGAATGCCCGCACTCTGAGAACGTCCATGTTCGCATTGCGTGCGAATGGCCAGAGCATCCATGCCTGGCCAGAGCAGCCATCCACATTTACAGAGTTTGCTGCGTGTGCAGCGGCTTCGCCCCGCACGCCAATTTTCACGAAGACGGCGTCTGAACGTGGTTGTGACTAGCCGACTGAAAGCAAAAAGAAATCGTTCCACTGACCCGCAGTAAGCGCCATTGCCACTTTATGCTAGCCTGCACAAGTGTATTTAGCACTTGCACACTTGCTTATACTGAGTAGACTTGGCGCCTCCCCAAAAACACTCGTCTGCGCAGCTCAAACCTCGCGAGGAACAATCCCCCATGTTGCCTCAAAATCAAAAAGCACAAGCAACTATCAAGTCATGAGCCCAAATCACGAAAGTAAGTACAGCACCTGCCACTAACAAAGCATTGGTATCATACCCCTATCTCCCCCATTCCAAGCGCCTTTCTCCAGGCACTTGTCGTGTGCGACGTGTCAATTTGGAGTCTCGCCCGCAGCCCCGAAGCAGCTAAACGAATAATGGCTATCTGAAGTGAGAGCATGATGCAAAGATACGCAAAGGATCTTTCCAGGAAAAGCGCGAACTCGTTGAGTCGCATGGTGACCTCCTTGTACAAGTCCGCAAGTTCAGTCCACTCCTTCCAGGGTCAGAGAGGAGTTAGGTGGCAGACCTTCCCGGCAAAAATGTTCGAAACATACTGCACTGCAAATCGCATTACGATCGCATTGCGAAAGAACCAGCTCCAGCTCAACTCCCGCTCCTCTCTTGATATGCTGCCACTTCCATTTGGATCCAGAAAGCGAAAGACCTTCTGAATCAAAGGTCCTGGCAGGGGGAGGTCGAGCTTCAATGCAACGTCAGGCAAAGCCTTCACAGCAAGCGTTGCGGAAAGTTCTGGAGGAAAACTCTCTGTCAAATCCCCAAAAGCACTTCCCAAACAGTTCCCTCTCTTGCCTCGAAAGGACTTGACTCCCATGCGCTGCATGCGCTCCTTAGGAATGCTCAGGATCTCGAAAACCGTGAAGTGCTCTTGGGAAAAAACAGCACGAAGCGAGCCACACCAGTTCGCACCACGTGTTGTTTTGTGTTTTGGTTTGTTGGGGGATCCGAATTCCTTGGGCTCAATCGGAACGTAAGGACTCAAGGTGCATGTGCTCTTGGCTTTGCTTTATTTATGGTTAGAGCGCCGTGAAAAAACTCACAGATGATCACCGATGTGATAGGTTGTGCAAGACAGAATAGGCAATGCCGGGTGAATGCTTGCTGCTTGCCGCCATGTTTACGATTCAGGATCTAGGGTGAGCTGTCTACCGTGCTGCAAAAGAAACTCGCAGAGATTACAGGGATTGCGCGAAGGGGGGGGGGGGGGGGGGGGGGGGTTGGCAGGGGGCCTTACAGTTCTCTTGGCTAAATCGAGAGGGTCCCGCGGCCCCATCTCACCCTACGACACTGGCCGTTGGATAAAGCTCCTGGTAAGGAATCTGTGAGGACAACGACCGTAAGCTCCCACTGAGCTAGCCACCGTAAATGTCCGTGGGTTTGGTCTAAATGTTCACTTGGGCGTTCAATCGAAGGCTTCTTAGATTTTGCGGATGGTTGATGTTTTTGTTTAGGCCCCAGGTATTGGCGGGCCCAGATCGTACAAGAAGGTGAGTTGGAATTCAAGACCAATTGAGAGAAGCAAGAAGATATTGCAAAAAGCATATAACCAACACGATACCAACACGGCTCGAATCTTAGAATGGGAGGAGCATGAAGGATCTCACAAGATTGTCCAGCCGTGGCTCGTGCATCTCTTTCAAGCTGATGACGCCATTTCCCTTGATGCCACCATCCATGAAGGTGAATGCCTGGTCGAAGTCGCTGAACTTAGCCACCAGCAACCTCTGCGCGCTGGAGCAATGTAAGGGAATGATCTGAACCTTTGTGGCACACAGACAACGTTCTTCAAGTCCTCTTCAAGTGCTCCGTTTGTTCGTTCGAGCGGCTGCAAGAACCTGATGACCTCAGTTGGTGCCTCGGACAGGGAAGACCACCACTGGACCTGGGAACTGCTGCAGTCCAACTTCCAGTGGCCATACTGCTCCTTGCAGATGTCACACAGAGTCACAGTGAGTCACAATGATCATGGCATGGGAATCCATCTATTTTTTGAAGCTGAAGCTCGTACAGCTTCTTGCGGTAGGCCCAGTTCCG